TGCATTGTTTCAGTAAATGTTTTGTTATCGCGGCTGGGTCCATGAAATAAAGTGGCATATTTTTGAAAAGTAAATCTTGTTTTTCACGATCGATTGATACATTTCCCGCGTGATATGTAACTAACGAATTGCCCGTCTCGCTAGTTTATCCTCTCGTGCTGAAACGGAACTACAGAGGACAGTTGTTGACTTTTACAATTCCGATGGATTTCTTTCCTACATCAATCACTTCTAAACACGAGTACAGTATGCTTAGCTTCAGATAGTTGTTAAATCTTCTGGTTGAAAGAAAACAAAAAAGGTACAAATAAAAAAAAACACTTGAAAGTGACTCCTGAGACTAGTAGAAGAATTTGGTTATTAAAAAAACCAACAGCAACACAACAAAAACAAAGGACGAAGAGTCATGCAGAAGCGTGACCGAATGACGTGACAAGCGCTTAACAATTCAAAAGCACTGAAGTTGTTTAAGCTTGAGCTAAAGGAAAAAAATATCGCAACGGATCCCTCGGAATCGATCCTTTCATTCAATTCAAACTCTGTTTCTCAGAAGTGCCTTAACATTTTACTGAGGCAGATTGTATGGCATCAATTTCCACGTAAGATTCTGTGCACGAGGACTTAGATCTTGCAAAAATGAGTGCCATGACAATTAAGTTGATGCTGAACTACAGAGTTCAGTTGATTTGACTTTTTAAAAGGATTATGGTCAGATTGTTCAACAGACCTTATCTCTTTACTACGATAGCCTTTATAAAAGCTTCGTACTATCGTGTGACTGTAAAAAAGAGCTTGTTTGTTTCTTCTTTCTCCCCACGTAGTAAGCAGTAAAACATCACGCCACTTAGAGTAAAGTGTTGTTTTATTGTCTTGATGGAAACTTACCGCAATGCTATTCGCACAAAATACTCAGCTAATGAGACTTTCGGCTTCAGATTGTAAGAGCTACGAAAATTTATTGCTGTCATAAGTACTGAGTTACATCGATGAGCAAGTCTCTCCGTTAATTCCTGATGCGCTGAAACGGAGCTACACACCACACTACCACAAATGTTCACTTTTTAAATGGCCACCTGTTCTCCATCGATCATTGCTAGACACGTGCACAGCTTGCTGGCTTCAATCATTTGCTAAATCTTACAACTGAAGGCAAACAAACAGACGAGGGATAAAGTTATTGACTATAGAAACTAGCGATCGTATTTTTTGGCTTTTGTTTTGTTTGTTTGTTTTTTTTAACAAAACAATCGAAATAGAACGCAGGAACGCGACCGAGTGACTTAACAACTGCTCAACAATTCAAAAGCACTGCTGTAAGTTGTTTAAGCTTTCTCTGAAGGAAGTATTTTTTTCAACGGATCCTTAGGAATGGAGACTTTTATTCGATTAAATTTTTGCTATTAAGAGGTGCACCAACATTTTGTTGAAGTTCATTGTATGGCAGCAGTTTCTGCGTAAGATTTTGTGTACGAATACTTACATCCTCGTAAACCGAGCGCCATGACAAGTTTCAGCCGCTGAACTAAAGAGTTCAGTTGATCTAACACTGATTTTGTTGGTCAGATTATTCAACAGATCCCTCCCTATTACTACAAAAGCCTTCTTAAAAGAATAAATAATATTGCATCGCTCTTGAAAAGAGAGACATTGGTGAGGCTCTGATAGGGTAAATTCCGACGGGCGACAGGGCGTTGAAACAGTGACATCAAGGAAATGAAAATGCGACTTCGAACACGACATCCATGAAATTGCAACAGCGACATCACAACCTTCCGAAATGGCGACGTGACAAAGTTTGAAATTCAGACGGGCGACATCTAGGGCCTCATTAATAGATTCGATAAACAAACTTCCAAAGGGAGACTTATGTATACATTTGGCTGATGAATTGCAGAAGTGTGTACCCAGTTGAAAACGAAACTGAAGTACCCCAATGGGGAAATGTACCCATGCTGCATAAAAACAAGCGACTGCATACTTAAAGATTTCAGCTTTGGAGTAGGAAAGTACATCTTTGCTGATTATGGGTCATTGATTTTTATATGAGGCTAAACAGTGTCATACAGATGTATTTTCAAAACTGACTTGTTTTGTCTCCCACACAATTCTTTTGCCGCATTCTTTTTGAAGCTCAGTGAGTGTAAAGAGCGCTCCATTTTATTATTGTGTTGATCTAACTGTATCATGATTTTCGAATTTCCCGAAGAGTCATATTTTCATTAGAATAAAGGTTGATAGTTTCTAAAGAAACTGTTTGGGGCTGCGACGACGCAGATGGGGAAACGGAATAATTTAGATATATCAACAAAGTTGAAATGGTAAATTGGCCACCGTAACGATGACAAAAGCTGACGTTTCGAGCGTTAGCCCTTCGTCGGAGCGAATAGAGGAATTGTGGTTTGTGTGTGCCTTTAAAGGCAGAAAATGGAGCTACGTGATTGGCTACGTTCTATTCGCTCCGACTAAGGGCTAACGCTGGAAACGTCAGCTTTTGTAATCGTTACGGTGGCCAATTTACCATTTCATGTTTTCATTAGGGCAAGTAATAGAAATAAGAAACTGTACAGACGCTATCATTTTTTACTGGAGTCTGGTCCCCCTTCTCGATATCAGCGTTATGTCACAAAGAAGATAAAATTTCCGAACACTGAGACCGCGTTTATCACTTGCGTTTCCATGTTAAACTTTGTAGCTTGATAATTTATAAAGGAAAATATATGGCAGTGAAAACGATGTGTACTTAACACTGGATACTCATCACGATTAGCTTTCTGCGCAGACTGCAACTCAGTATAACATTTTAGCCTCTCAGGATTCAATAAACAGAGTTACCTGTTTAGATCTTTTTAAACAGCAAGAGACTTACATATTTCTATAAATGTTAATTGGAAAAAATGTGCCTTTTCTGAAGCAGGTTAAGGAAATGAAGATAAAGTTGAGATTGAATTCAGAGAATTTTCCGTTTCAGCATAAACGTGTCTTTTAGAATTCTCAGAAATGTTGTCATTACTAAAACACTGCTGTCAAGTAACTGACGAGTGAATACCCTTGTATTCGCTTTCAACTTGACCTGTCGCAATTCTTGCTTCCTTCAGCTAACCCTACAAAGTATTTTTCAGTCGGAGGCGCACTTTCTCCACAAAGTTTAAACTTCTGTTACATTCCTGGGTTACGTTCAGTTCCGGGTTTAATTTTCTTATTTCATTCTTGACTCCAACAGGTCGATTGTTTCATTTCAATACATGTCATGCAGTTGAGCTTAGTGCTATCCCTAACTACACAGAATAATTTATCCTTGCATACACACCAAAAGAAAGTCTTCATTTTAGCGTCACAACTCCTATTATGATCTATACTAAAACATCAAGACCTATCCAGGACCACTCACTCTAAAATATTCTTTTTTAACGATCATACGGACTTTCTATCGGCAGTGCATGAAATGGTGCCGGTTGTAAAGTGACATTGACATCGTCTAAGGTTTCTTCTGGCACACTTTATCACACCTGATTTTCCCGGTTTCATACATGCAGGAATTTGTTTCCCTTATGGTTGAGACATAAGTTCCTTGTTTATAAGGGGCACGAGACATTCCTTTGTAGAGTGACCACTGCCTGCCGAAAGGTCTTCAGAGCAACAAGAAGTAACTGTCGATCAAATCTTGAATTCCGCTGTTTTTCCGTGAAACTCTACACGATGAAATCATGTTTCCGTGAGACACTCAGCGCTATATAAGTGAGCCGAAGACTCCTCAAAACACAATTGGTCCTACCTAAAGTTCAAGATTCTAAGGTCGAGTTTGTTGGTATCACTCAGGGCAACAGATATGGTGAGTTTTTAAGACTCGAATTCAATTAAATGTAATCAAACATAAGTGTAAGATTGAACTCACTTCTCGTTGGCTAATGTAAATTTTCCTATAGTTAACGTTCTTGCTTTATTTCCGGTTAAATAAGGACTTCAGCATACTCTATGATTACAAACGACAATTACATTTACTTGAAGATAACGAGAAAACTTGATTAATATAAAGGAGAAACTAAAGTAAATTGAAATCAACCTTAGAGATAAGGGATGATAATACTTAATCTTGATATTTTTTTTTTCTTCAGGGATTTTCTCCTCTTTGCAGCGTCTCAGTTATTTTGTTGGTGTACGTCATTCAGATTCAAGCGTTACTGGTAAGCAATGAAAAGCGTGATCATTCATTTTAATCAAAAGTTTTTGTTGACTCGACTCAACCAGGTTGATGAAATAAAAGTATTGTGTCCGTGTTCAGTTCGTTTCTATTTTCGGAGTCTAGCTAAATGTAATGATAGCTTGCGAACATAACTACTTGGTCAGCGGAAACTTGACTTTTATGTTTATGGGCTTTTTGAGGCATGGCAAGTTCTATGAATAAAAATAGAAATACAACGTTAGGGGTAAGAGCTATCGTCACTGTTTTGCATTATCAGTCTATGGCTTTAAAAACTAGAATGGAAATATGTCGAGCGCCACTAAATTTAGCACTTGGTCAGTCCTCAGAAAAGGTTCTCTGTAAATGTGATTGCAATTCTGCAAGGTTTTTTTCTTGTCTCTTATTTTTTTGTCTTGTTTTGTTTTGTTTTTTTTTTCACTCAGCTATTCTTACAAGTGTTTCGTTTCTTTTCTCAGCTTCCTCGTAACGAAGTACATGTTCGTCGAGAGACACAAAAATTTAAGCTCACCATTACAGAGAAGGGAACAAGATTTGATGAGAAAGTCGAGATCAACGAAGATGAGCAGATTGCTTATTTCAATGTTCCTCCTCATAACGGTTTGCCAGAGAATGAAGAACTTTTCGACTACAGAATGGTAAGATACACTATCGAATCTATCGAGGACACTCTGCAACTTTCACAAAATCTTAGAACTTAAGCTTGTAGAATGGACACATTCAAAAGGTATTTTCGCTTATCGCAGAACGTCACCGTTCGTCGTTCCAAAAGTGATGGGGCTTGCTACCTCAAACCTTTACCAGAAGACTTACCAAGACCAAAGGATCTGGATACTGGTCTCACACAGGTATTATTAAAGTTTAGTAGCAGAAGTTTTTTTACTAAATAGTGCGATTAACACATCATAAGAAATAGTTTATGAGGCGTTGATGGAGAATATGAACTCGATAACAAACACGTGACCATAAAAGTCCGCACAGGCCGGCTAGCTTAATATAGACAGTTTTGATCCTTCAATCTCCAAGATTCAGAAAAATGCATCTATTGCCTTATTATCATTTGGCCAACAAGTGGCTTTAATACAATGAATATATGAAGTGGCTTTAATCTTAACAGATTTTCAATCGTTTTTCATAAGGCTTTAAATCGTCCCACCAATTACAAGATCTCGACAGTTTCCAAAAAGTGGATCATTGCTGGAGAAGTGGAGAAGGTCTTCCTCAGGAAGGAGATCGCAGAATTCTGTGACCAGTACCCAGTCTACCGACTGAGGGAATATATTGAAGAAAAAAAGCTGCAATTTTAAGCAGCCTCTCTTTTGTTTTATTGCCCTAACTCTGTAGACAACGAGATCGCCTCAATCTCGATGGAGAGAGAAAAAAAAAACAGGGTTGATTTGAGGAGAACCCGTTCCTTAAATACATGTACAGCTCTNCACTTAAAATAACTGAGGAGAATTTGCTGCCTTACTATAATATCAAGAAATGGATATATATTCTAGTCTTCTCGGATAAGGACGAATAAACCGTAGGCCCCGTCTCCTGCAGGGTTAGGGGTAGGAGACGTTAATTTCCCACGCACGAGATTACTGTGTGGAGGATGTCCTCCCCTGGGGAGGGATGGATGGGTATGTCTTACGTTTCATACATGAGCGTCCTGCGCGGGTAACTGGGTAACCATGCCTCACGTAAAGACAATAAACTTGATTGATTGATTCAGTTGAGCGGATTTCTTGATGCTCCGAAGAATTGAAGCGGGTATGGTATAATAATATATGGTGTAATAATATGGCAATGGGAACGAGTGGAGTCCAATTTAGTCTGTACTCATTAATTAATAATAATAATTATTAATGATTAATAAAATCGGATGACTCCGAAGCGGGAGTCTGATTTGTTTAGCACAAGTATGATTACAAACGGAATTGGATGACAAGAAGTCCTGTTACCAGTAAATCAAAACTTTGACAAAATTCGAGAAAGAAACCAGAAATCGGCTATACGTTTTCATAAAAAAAAAACAATTTACTCGACGAAATGTGCGACAGCAGTGCGCGCACATAACGTGTTCTGTCTACTTTCACAGGCATAACGTGTTAACTGTGCCTTCAAGTAGGGTCCCTCTTAACTACAAGGATGGTTACCATGTAAACTTTCACCCATTCAGGGTGGGGTGGGGGATTGCAGCGCCCCTTCCCTTGTCAGTTCATGGTGTGGACTGTGGACTCTACGATAAGGCCTTGTCTTACGTTCTAGGAAAGGAGGGACATTGAGATTTCGGTTTTGGTGTTCACTGCGGTTTGCGGATTTTCCATTTGGCTTTTCGGTTCACCTGAAAAATACTAACGTGTTTTTCGGATTTGGTACCCGATTTTGTTTCCGTTTTCCATGTTTGGGTACTGGTTTCTCTTCATCTGAGCAACAATTATGCGCCTCCACTGATCTTGAATAGCCGCGAACCTCTGTACTTACCACCACTGTATCGGATCGATGAGGGTTTTGATGATTGGGAAGTGAAAATTTATCAATTTTGACGATTTTTCTTACGGATTTCGGTTTCGATTGAATTCTTTTTCAGTTTTGGATGAATCTCAGCCACGATTTTGCGGTTTCTGGTAGACCCAAATGCCCCCTTCCAAGGACATACTACCCGGTCATATTTGGATTTACATGCGTGACTTTGACTATATTTGGTAAAGTCGTGTGACCGCGTGACCGCAGCTGACAATTCGCCGGGCGAGTTAATTCCTAGCAACAGCGTTTGTAGTTTAGAAGGAGCCCCTTAACTTTTACCAGTTGTTGTCGCGGTCACCGTTGTTTTATTTGTTTGCACCTCACAATCAGATGCATCCGTGGTAAGTTTCCTGTTAGTCAAAAGTGTCTGACAACTTTTTATGTTATAACTGCTCTCGTTACAAATCATCCTTAAGAATTGTTGATGAAAAAACGTAAAACTTAGTTCAGTTAACTTTCAGTTGTATTGGTTGCATTTTAGTAGGTAAAGTTTAGTTTGAACAGTGTTATTTTAAAGATCCTAACATGATTCCTTGGTTAGCGGAAACTTGACTTTGATGCATGCTCATCCGCTCTCTGACGTATTAAAATGAGTGGACACAGTTCTGGTGTGTTCTGCCGTTACTCTTCTATGTCCTCCGCAAAGAATGATTCTGTCAAGTGGCTCTTGCCTTAGCACTTGAGTGTGATTGTAAGATTCCATAATTTCCTTTTGTCTTTTTGTTCTTAATTTGTTGTGAATGAATCAGTTTTACAAGTTCTTTCTTTCTTGTCTCACTGCTTCCACTAAACGAAGTACGTGTTAGTCGAGAGACATAAAAGTTTAAGCTCGCCATTACAGAGAAGGGAACAAGATTTGAGGAGAGAGTCGAGATCAACGAAGATGAGCAGATTGCTTATTTCAATGTTCCTCCTCATTATGGTTTGCCAGAGAATGAAGAACCGGTTTTCGACTACAGAATGGTAAGATACACTATCTAATCTATCGAGGACATTTTGCAACTTTCAGAAAATCTTTGAACTTAACCTTGTAGAATGGACAAACTGAAAAGTTATATTTACATTTCACAGAACGTAAGCGTTCGTCGTTCCAAAACTGATAAAACTTGCTACCTCAAACCGTTGCCCGAAGACTTGCCAAGACCAAAAGATCTGGATACTGGTTTCACACAGGTATTATCATGACTTAATGATTCAAAATTTTGTAGCACAAGTCTTTTGGCGAGATTCTGGAAAGCGCGATCTGTAAATCATAACTCAGGAATAATTTGAGAGACGCTGATAGAGAATATGAACTTGATAGCAAACAAGTAACGGCGAAACTTCTACCAGGGTCGGCTTAATTCTCCATGACTCGGCGAAATGCATCTTTTGCTTTATTATCATCTGATCAATGACTTTAATTAAAATACATGTTTCTATGATTTCCCGTTAGGCTTTAAATCGTCCCATCAATTATAAGATCTCGAAAATTTCCAAAGAGTGGATCATCACAGGAAAAGTAGATAAGATGTTCCTCAGGAAGGAGATCAAAGAGTTCTGTGACCAGTACCCAAACTATCGTCTAAAAGAATATGAACCAGACTCTGTTTCTGTAGCGAGAGGTAAGAGATTGCAAAAATCGATATGAGTTCTTTGAATTAGCAAGTTTGAACTGTTTCACTCCGCGAACTCTTGTTCTTCGACCATTAATAAACCGGATTAAACTGAGAAACAACAATGCATTGAAGTGAGCTCCACGGTCCTTAGACACCCAAAAGCTACCACTCTTTTGTTCTAGTGCCTTAAAATTAACGCAGGTAGCGAGATCACCTCAATCTCGATGAAGGGAGAAAACAATAAGGATTGATTTGACGAGACCCTAAATATAACTTTCCGTTAACATGGGCCCCTTAGAGTTATTTGCGTGAATCCAAAATGATGACATTTTGTTGTCGCGTTATGGGTATAAATGCCGAATACCCTAATTGTTTAAAAGTTCTGGAAAACGTTAAAATCACTAAAAATTGAGGAAAAAATCACAAATGGGACATCCTTAGTTTGTTTTCGAATTATTTTGGCTTTTTAAAATTTGTCATAGTTACCAATAATGACGTGTTTGTTTACTTTTTTATGGAGAAGCAAACGGGATATGAAATTTTCATTTTGTTCCAAAGACAAAAACCTTCTCTGTGGTCGGAATGAATGGACTTTTCATCGTGAAATTAGTACCTCGACTTGTGTTTATTTCGTAACATGCAAGGAGGTGGACGAGGACAGTAAAACCATTTTTAAGGTAGATAAACACGTATTTGACTCTATAATATCCTGTGATCCTGTTTGTCCTTGAGAAACTAATTAGCTCTTCGTGATCACGAAGAGAAATGAATGGTTAAATCTTTTTTGCATTAGTTTAGATTACAAGCTTGAGTTTCATTTGCTGTAATTTGTTTAAAACTTGATTTTAATAAAGCTGACATGATCGAAATTTTCATTGGGAGAAAACGGTTACATTTAGCATGTAACGCGTATAAATTAGGTACAAAATTCGCAAATAAACACCCACTAAAATTTCACGCAGGAAAGTCATCACTGTTTGTTCTTCTTTCTCCCCCCTCCCATGACAAACTAAACTGAAGGATAATTGGAATTGCTCGGATTGAGGGGTGTGTTCGATGCAACAAAACATTTCAATGAAATGTTTTGTTGCATCGAACACACCCCTAAATTCCTCGTAGTAATGAGCATTGCTAATAAAAGCGACAGTGATAATAAAGGCTGAAAAAAAAATTCAGGCCTGTACAGGCCCGCTTTTTTTTTTTTTTTTTTCAGGCCTTAGTTACGGCTGCTTTAGTAGTGTTCATTATTGAGAGGATGGCTGTCATATACATTTCTTTAAACCGCAGTGCACATATATGTTATATATATCATATATATGTTATCATATATATCACATATATGTTATCATATATATCATATTTATTAAAAACTATATCATTGGATAATGCAATTCAAGACTTTTTATTGGCTTAGCCATTATGGTATATCAGCCAATATACCATAATCTATAAATATGATAAGCGTACGTGTCAGCTTAAAATTAAAAGGGAGCTAAAAATTTAATGAAAGTTAATGATTTAATTTAACGTTTTTAATAAAACAATTATTCCACTCGCGCTTGTTGGATATGAGCAAGAGCCATAATTGGTCCCAACTATGGCTTTTGATATGAGATGATTATAGCCAACTCGGCGCCACGCGCCTCGATGGCCATCTATCATCTCATATCCAACGCGCGCTCGTGGAATAATTGTTAAATATATCATATATATGTTATCGTGGTATGTCTTAATTACTCAAGTACAGAGGGAAGAACGTACTTTAACCCGTTGCCACCTCCGTCCAAATATCAAAAGCGAACCCTTATATGACCAGCTGATTGTCCACTTTAATAGTTTTAGCCAGATCACTAAAACTTTATAATAACAGACGCAGGGAAGCTGAGGACGTGAGCAGATGTGACTCAGTGAAGAGGTGACAGACACAAGAAATAGGCAGTCCTCTGAAGCCGGTTGATGTCATTTCTTTTCTTAAAACATCGTTTTAGTTCCTCGGTAGAACCAAATGAAAGGAGAACATTACAGTAAGCTAATAATTTTTCTCTTGTTTTGGTGGTCTTTATTTGTAAAAGTTTGAGAGCCTCTCGCTAGGTCGGAAGAATTTTAACTTATCGCGATACTGCAGAATGTTTGTTTTTGCCGCAGGCGGCCCAAGCGTACTGTGTGTGATCTTTGGGTCTAAAGATCAGCAACGG